CTCAACGTTACTTCCTTCACAACATTTTTTAAAGATGCCCATCTCTTACAAATATTTAATAATAAAAAGTAGTAATTAAGTATTTATTTTAAATAATTGTTTTTTTCGTTTATTTTTAATACTCAAAATAAGTATGGTATTTACATGTTGTGTACAGACAATACAGATAACATATGTCGTCAAGGTCATAGTCACTGATGGTGATGGGCTCTCTTTTTTATATTATATGTTACGACAGGTTTTTAAGTGTTTCACAATGTAAATATTTTGACGCACAATGTCAATAAAAATGGCTGGACAAAATAAATGTATATACATGTGTAATACTAACCCAAGAATAGCTGCAGAAATCAGAACACTTAATATAATGACATTATCCGAGTAATTAAATATAAATATATATAACGTTGATTTCCAAGATGGAGTTGTGTCGTAATAAAAAAAAAATAATAAATTCGTATATGCTAATTGATAAAAAATGTATACAATCCATCCAACTATTATACGAATTATCCAGTTACGTAGTCTTTGGTATTCCTTTGGCGCTCCGAGGGCTTCTAACGAATCGTCTACTATAGCAAGTTTAAGTAAGCATGTCTTCAATTCCTTTAAAAAAATTATATTGATCGATTATGTGACGCAGAACAAAATTATTGTAATTTTATATTTGAGTGAAAACTGTTGTTGCAATGTGTATAGAAAATGTGACAGATAAAGAGTTATGTTATAATAACGTAAGCATTAAAATTGATCTGTTACAAAAATTTTTTTTTAAATTTAATTTAGTTCATTGCACAACTCTATGAAAAAGATTACATGTTAACAAAGTAATAAACATAAACATAAAATATGATACAATATACTGTGGTAGCTTGCAAATGGTTAGAGGCAAAATTGCTGTTACTTGTAGCCTACCAGCAAAGAACCAGGTCTAAGATGATGCAATGATTGGTGAAGCAATAGTTAAAATCATACACATACGCGCGCGCGCGCGCCAACACACACGCACTTGCGCGCGCGTGCACACACACACCCAGGCACAGGCGCAAGCACCTACACACATACCAGTTACAACCTCTCTTAAATACTGTGAGTGAAGCATTAAAATACGAGACAGCAGAACGAAAGCAAAACAAAGAGGGAGAGGTTTTTATTGATACAAGAAAAGAGTTAAAATATTTGACTAAGGAATAGAAGAGAGCAGTACGGAACATAGTGGAACGATAAGTAAGTACTTGGTGATAAGGGGATTAAAAGTAAAATAAAGTAAAATAAAGTTCAAGTTCAACTGAAAAAGGCGTCGAAGATATAGAGAAGTATTGAAGCAAAAAAAAAATGAAAAACAGTACAAGTTTAGAACAAAACGTTGCCATATCCTAAGCCAGCCAGATCTCTGGTAAATATATAGATATATTGTCGTATTTACGGACTCAGTAGGAGATGCGGAGGCAAGAATTTTGGATACGCTGTACACAATTTAGAAGTTATTGACAGGGTTGGGTTAAGTTAAAAAAATAAAAGTTAAGTTACAAAGTTAAAAAGTTAATTAATTTTAATGTAACTTAACTTAATTACATTTTAGACTCTTAACATTTTAACTTTATTTAGTTACATTTCATCCGTAACTATTAATTTTTTATTTAATTCTTTGAAGTCGAGTCTCAGACATAATATGCGGCAATAGCTTAATATACATATATAACTTAAAATGAGATGAAAATGACAAAAGTGAGCAAATTTAATATGTGTTGACCAATGAAATTATAAATATTCTAGTAAATTTATTCACTTTTGTAATTTTCATCTCATTATAAATTATTCAATTGACCCTCAGATTCCAATCTGTTAGAAACGTGTATTTCGATGTATTAAGTGTCTGATAGGTTGAAATCGATTATTCCTGATTATTATCGCTACTCCCTCATATTGTGTCTAAAGCTTTAGTCATGATTACAGACCAGTATTTATAATCAAATTTTATATATTAAACAATATATATAAACAAAACATTTAAATAAAATATAGAGTATTTTTTAAATAAAATATATATTTCTATTATTTATAAGATTTGAAATCTTGAAATCATGAATTTAAAAAATAAAAAAAAACAAATTTATTATAACTTTTAACTATTTAATTTTTTTTATTAATTTAACTTTTAATTCAATTACTTTCGTTATATATTAACTTGTATCTTAACAAGTTATCTAATTAAATTTTCAAGGATGTTAACTTTAACTTAACTTAGTTAAAAAAGAAGGTTAACTTACCAAACTTCGATTATTGATTAAGATCTGGAACGTAGACAACATCGGCATAATCATAAAATAATGAAATAACGAGTAATTGAGAAGAAAAGAATTTTGAAATACAAGGAAAGGATGTGACCAAGAAGACAAAATAGACGGGCGTAAGCAGGTCGACATTTGACGTGTGACTCGAATGGCCATGAAGAGTCAACATGGACACCAAGTATCTTAATAGAAGAGGAGCGAGGCATTGGAACGGAGTAAAGAGAAATATCGAAGGATTGAATATGGGATAATAATGTTGAGAAACCGACAATTAGCGAGAATGATTTAGAGAGATTTAAATGCAGTGAATTATTAGTAGATCATTCGAGAATAAATTTTAGATCTTTATTTAAAGCAGAACAGGCTGCAAAAGCATCGAATGGGTGAAACAAATTTGAAAAGAATTATGTCGTCTGCATACATGAAAAGTTTAGGGGATAGAAAAACGTTAGACAAATCAGAGAAAAAAATATTAAAAAGTAAAATTCCGTGAATGGAATCCTGAGGTACTCCAGAAAAAAACAGCACGAGAAGAAGAGAAAAGAGAAAAAGAATTATATTTGAGAACTTTTCTGCTGCGTGCGATTTGTAAAGAACGAGCAGATTAGCGAGAGAGCCGAATGAGAGAGACTGTATAGCTTGAGTTTAACTATTGTAAAAAGTAGGTCATGGTTAACGGTATTGAAAGCTTTCTATAAAAATGTTTCTAATATTTATAATTTTGTATTTGCTTATAATTGTGAATTTTTAATGCTTTCAAATAAAAATACGATTAAACGAAAGAAAAATAATACTAAAAGATCAAGTATTATTATATTTGAACCAGGAGTACATTTAAAAATTTGTACCTTAAAACGACTGAGGCTAATGAGAATTAATATAATGGTACCCAACGGGTTCAAATACTCAATAATTAGGGATAATTCATATCCTCCTAAATACGTGACATATGTTGGATAGTAACTGAAGTATGTCAGAGAGCCCCATATGGCCAAAACATACAGGTAAGAAAGATACGCCCTAGGTTGTCCACGAGGATATTCGATCATGCACAAATTGCAAAACGATCCAATGATCAATAATGGTGCCAGCGCTCTTTCTAACGTCTCTATCATAGTTTCTCTGAATCGTTAGCTAGTATTTTAACTGAATTAGTTCTTGCTGTATGAGACACAAACACGTTTTTAATATTTTTTATAAGATTTTCAGAAATAGTTTTCGCAGTTCCTTTAGAAACTTTGTGAGAACTACACTGTAAGATTTGTACACTGGGGACAACGTATGTAAATGCCGTTAAACCAACAAGTATTGAACAACAAAATGGACACAGATAATCTAGATTAGATTGTCTTTCTTTTCACGGAATTTTTATTTATAGGTACGTATATTAATCCATCAGTTGTGGATCGCCCTTGAAAACAAAAATTCATATTTTTATTCAAAACGTTTTATCAAACGTTTTGTGAGATGTAATTATGATTGGTCTCATAGATTACATTATGGATGATCTTATTTCATTTCGATACTATCTTGTATGTTTTAATTTTAATTAAATTAAGTAATGACAATTATTCACAATTAGATTCTATGTACTAATTGCGGATCAGTTCACCAAATGTTTTATCCATTTTCGATTTAATTTCAATTGTGAGCATGATATCGATTTTTTAAATGAAATCTGATGATATTTACTACCTCCTATAAAAGCCGTAAAGCAATTTTGGTAAATATGCATTTTAAATGACACGTCACCGATTCGAATGTCCTTTTGATATAATGTAGGGGAGAATATTCTGAATGACTACTCCTAAAAAGTGCGGGACGGTATATATATTGATTTGAAGGGTATAGTAAATTAAAATTCTATAATATGTAGAGAATAAATTTGAAAAATAATTAAACAAAAGATAAAAATAAACTTTAAATACATAAATACATACTAAAAAATGTTTTTATATAAGAGTCAAAATTTTATAAGAGATAAGTACTTATCATATTTTATTTTGTCATACGCTGACAATAATAATAAAAAAAAAACATATTTAATTCTGATCGGTCTTTGCAATAGATATGATACATTTGCGTTATAATTGTGGAGCATTAAATAAAACTGAAATTATTAGAAGTTAGCAAATAATACTAAACATACAGTTATGTCTTATTCTCGATTTATGTTATCTTCGTAGTATAGTTCTCTTCTTGTTTTACTCTTTCTTTTTAAACATGATCGTGTACTAACTGACATAAGAGAACATATATAAATATACGTATTATAAAGTACATACAATGATTCATAGAA